TCACACGTCAAACAAGTAGACGGACACACGTCACACAGGTAGACGAATATGATATCACGAGTACTGTGTAGAAAAGTACAGTCGTACATGATGTGTAGAAAAATACTTCTACATGAATGATTATTAACCGTCGGTGGGTGTGGCACCCCGACCGGATTCGACAGCCGCCACGCTGTCCTCCTCAAGGGAATAACCGCTTTGTCTCACCCGCGTCAAAATCCTGCATTCCACTCTCACACGTCCGAAGTTTACCTGCTACCATCTCCGAAAATTGACGAGGGTTTATCTACGTAGGGCCCGAAAAGACCGAATAGTGGTACAATCATTGTTCATATAGGTTTCCCCGCAACCTTATGACTAACCGAGTCATAGGTCCATGTTTTTACGTATTTTTTTGAGGGTGAAAAATAATTGAATTATGGTACTTTTCTCGTTAGTCCACAAGTCATAGAGTGACAAAAATAGAAAAGGAGATGAATCGGAGCGACAAAAATGACACTTTTAATAACTCGAGTCAGTGTGAAACTCATTCTGTTGAAGACTTGTTGTAATAACTCTCGCCATTGTGAAAATCGTTCTTCATTGGATTAAAACTTTCCTATCATAGGCATGTTCGATCTTTTAATTACCTTGTCATCTAATAAATGCGCAAGCTATACAACTGTGATGAACCTCTATTTTTGTTTTCATCTGTCGCGTCTCCATATGCGCCAATTATTTTCTCACAAGTGTCTGGTTATAATATGTTGAGATTCACAGACGCATAAAAACAAATGATCTTGTTGTCTTACTATTTGAAAAATTAAAGTTTTAAAACATTTACAAACTGACTATAAATTATTACCGACTCTCATTTTTTTTTAATCCATCAATCTTTGTAAGTTATTTTATCATCAGTTTTATATTACAATTTGTTAAAATTAATGGATGCATGAAATAAAATAATCTGGTTGTTTTACTATTGAGGAAAATAAAGTTTTCAAACCTTTACAAATTTTATTATAAGTTACAATCGACATTTATTAAAAAAAAAAAAAATTTAGGATGATGCAAACTTTGAAATTAAACTTTTGTTTTTTCCTCTTAACATTTATTTACCAACAAATTATTAAAAAAAACTTCTTATATATCGTAGATTCTTATTATTTTTAATACGAAAAAACAATTTATAATTGAAAATGTGACCGAACCATTGTTATTTGTAATTTTATAAATTTTCTTAATCTCTTTCCGTGTCGTCAAGGCTTTGTCAATCCCTTATTCATGCGTTTTATACGAGTTAAACAAGATAGTGATCCTGTCGACGCATACTCGTTACAAACTTCCTCTTGAAGTTTTTTTCAATTGTCATCTACTATGAATTTAATATTTTGAATGAATCAGTTCCCCATCTCCAAATACAAGCAATATCCCATGCGAGATCCAATATAGGCTGCCTTTGTGGCTTGCTTGACTCTTACCCGAACTCCGAAAGACTTATCGATGGTGAAGTGTGGTAGGGTAACTCTCAAACATGATATTGAAAAGAGAAAATCAAAAGGTCATCATAACCACAATGGTTCCCTGAATTGGTCTGGTGCCTCCCCAACACACATTTCGACTCCACCTTTAGAGGGTGAACTTCGCTATTCGCATTAACCTTGGAAAGGATTTACCTTGTCCTAATGCAAGGCCTATCCCAAATATTATCCACAGGAAGAAAAATATGTATAATATGACTCTTTGATTGCCCATCGCTCTCCTCTCACCCATCTTGATTCAAGCGCCTACGTAATGAGGAAAACCCTCAACCTTCGTTGTCAGGACGTGCATAGCATCTTTCGTTCTTCATTGTGTTGGAGAAGGGGCGAAGGTGACAGCCAAACAGCTCTGTCAGACGCCACCCCGCCAACTTCTAGACCAACTTTTTTTTTTTTTTTTTTTTTTTTTGAGAATAATGAAAACAGTTTCATTACACAACCAAAGGAACCGGGGTCGGGAAACCCCACAATATTCCGTGAAAAGTTGAGCCTTGAATCAACAGGAAGAAAAGCACAGTCTGGAAACCAGGTCCAGGGTCCCATTTGGTAATAAGGGGTTCCCCAAAATAGAAAACAAGAGGGGTTAAGCCCAGACACTAAACCATTAAGCCCATCCTACCCTTCTCCATGCTTGGTTAAAAAAGACTTTACGGGGGAGAGCTAAAACGCTCCCCATGTCCCAATGGGGACAACAACCACGGACAAAATTGAAGTCTACCGAGTCAAGTTTAACCAAGGAGGAGTTCCTCCCCCACGTGTCGCAAAACCATTTCCTTGGCTTTTGAGTGTCAGGGATCTTTCTCTTCGTGCAGTTACTAATTATAACCAGTCTTATTTGCTGAACTACCATAATTTTGATTTGGATATCCGAAGTCCCTGGGGATCGAAACAACTAATTGTTACGAATATCTCAAATGATCTTCATGAAAACAACTCTTACATTATGTGCGACGTACAACCAATCCAACTCCCTTTTACAGTCTGTCCTGTGAAGACCCGACAAAATTCATTCGTCAGACCATAGGAATGCATCCTTAGTAAATTTTCTCAAGTGCTGAATTCGCAGCCCTTAGGCTGCGGTATAGTGGGCTTCCATGTTTGTGTTCGCAACCCGTCAGGGTTGCGTTTTATGCCCCTGAGACATTGAGACATTGAACATTTTTCGTCGTCGTCACCAAACGGTGCGGTAGTTGGAAGGGTGGTGTATTTGCTAGGGGTTCAATTCATGGAAAATAGGCAGTTCAAGGAAGTGCAGGACCGGTAGCTGCCCGTGGCATTAGGGCCTTGAAATTTCGAATCTGAAACGGCATGGACGCATGCCCTGTGGTGAGTTAGGGCGGGTTTTTAGGGGGGGTGCCGACTGGAAGGCGCAGGCGGGTCGAATCTTGCAATTTTCGAGCGCCAACTTTGGCGATTTTTCGTACGCAGAATAATTGGAGAAAAGATCTGAAAATTTGCTATCGGGCAGGCCTGGTCGTTATCTTTCCAGGAAAAATATCAACAAAATAAAATAAAATCGCTTAGACCATGAAATAAATGTCGCGCCAATTCGTCACTTTTTCCATTTTGGCACACGACAACTTGTGGGCCAATGGGAAAAGTACCCCTATTTCAAAGTTTTTTCACGCTCAGAAGAACTCGTAAACAAGTCTGAAAATCTAAGGGTCCGTAGATCAGGAAAAATGTTTTAAAAAATAAAAAAATTTGTCTCAACCGCGAAATAGCTTATGGTGCAAATTCATCCCATTTTCCATATTCACCACTCTGCCGGTTCTCCACTCTGTGCTACTGGTAACCCTCATGGACCTGTGGTACTGGGCCCCCGAATTTCCAACCTCAGGTAGAGTAGTGGTTTGAATTCGAAGCGTGTCGTGGTCGAAATCGAAACAGGCCAAAAGCAGCGGCGGCCGCTCCCGTTCCCTTTGCATTCACAAAGTGATAGTCTCCCTGTGTGCGCAAGGAGCGTAGTGCCTTATCGATCGAGGCGTTTTGACAAAGTGGCGCAACACTTGATTTTTTTTTTTTTTTTTTTTTCTCTCTCTCACACACACACACACACACACACACACACACACACACACACACACAACATCAACAAACAAACCACGGGCTGCGCACCCGTGCCCTCACGGTAAGTCAATCAAGGTGACGCATTTTTGGCCGCGGGCGACCATGACGCAAAGTGGGTTCTTAGGGGGCAAAAAAATTTGGGGGACTAGTCCTTGCCAAAATTGCGGACTACCTACAGCTAGCTCTGGTAGAACCGGGACTTTTGGAAAAACGAAGGACCGGTCCTCGGGTAAAAATGGACCCCCAAAAGAAGTGGGGGGCATTGGACCGGTTCTCGAGTAGAAGCGGACCCGCAAARGAAGTGAGGGCATGTGAACTGCAAAAGGGCCCTTAGGCCCAGGCGTTGAGCCCCGTCTTCTCAAAACAGGGAGGTCAGGCACAACGAAACAGACGTTTTGCAAGAGGCAACTTTGGCGATTTTCTGTGCTCAGACGAACATGCAAAAAAATCTAAAATTTTGAGAATCCATAGATGAGGTCGTGTTCTTTCCATAAATAATAATAGAACATTTACAAAAAATCATTTAGACTGCGAAATAATCATCGCGCCGATTTAACACATTTTCCATTTTTGGCACTCAGCCTTGCTTGGGCCAACTAAAAAAGTACTCCAAATTCAGTGAGTTTTCGCGCTCAGAAGAATGCGTGAAAAAACCTGAAAATTTGAGTACTCGTAGATTTTGTTGTGATCTTTCCAAGAAAAATGCTACATAAATTAAAAAAAATCATTCCAACTGCGAAATAGATTGCGCCCGCAATTTGACCCATATTTCAATTTTGCCATTCAGCCTCTCTCTCTCTCTCTCTCTCTCTCTCTCTCTAGTAGTCCCCGCCCCCCCTCTCTCTCTCTCTCTTTGGTAGGCCCCCCCCCTCCCTCTCTCTCTATTTCTTTCTCTCTCTCACACTCGTAACAATAAATAGAACAAAACTTTCTTTCTTTCTCTCTCTCTCTCTCTCTCTCTTGTGTTAGCTCTTAGTCTCATTGATTTGGCTACCTTAGGGCTGCGTTCCCCGCGCCCACGCGGTAGACAATCCACCAGTCCCAAACTCGTCTGGAGGCCGGACAGGTGAGCCAAAGGTGTCGATTGTTCTCCCAGACCAACTTTCGAACCCCGTAGTCCAGCTTTTGAACCTGACCGGTGATGCCTCGTTCATCAGTCACGCCATGCAAATTACGGACTGCGCACCCCTGCCCTCACGGTATAGATGTTTTTGCCGGGCGAAGCGACGGGTGAATTGCTCAGGCAGCGGGCGAGGGGCAAACGGCCCAAAGAAAAGAACCTCCTTGACTGCTTCTCCGAACTGGCACGAGTCGTTCCCCATCGCAGCCAAGGGTTTATAGGGCCAGGTAAGCGGGGACCGCTGACGAGAGGCGAAGTCGGGATTTGAATTATCAGACCTGAGGTTCGCGGCTCGCCCGGTAAGAGTCCGTTGCTGATGATGGCAGAGGCGTACGGATGAGGAAAGGGTACATTCCCCGAGAGAAGGGGCCAACAAACCACACGTGGGCAGGCGAGACGGGAAGGGAGAGGAGAGGAGGAAGTTAGCCTGAGCACCTAGTAGCCTGAGCACCTACTGTTTGTAGCTCTCCACAGTGTGAGTGGGCATTGGTAGGAGGGGCGCGGGGGTGTCTTCGTCAGGGTGGTGTGTCTCTGTATAGAGTCTGACGGAAGCAAAAGAGCGGCGGCGGATGTTCGCCCTGCGCGCCCGCCCTTGCCTACTTCAGCACTCGCAAATACACCTCACTCAATTCTCCTATTGACTGCTTCTTTTCCCGTCGTTGACACGTGGCTGGCTGCGCATCCGTCTCTCCTTGGGGGTGTCCACCCTTGCCAATCGTGGGGCTCGGCGCGCTTCATGGAAGAGTGCGTGTGAGCCCCTGGTTGGAGGAAGGATGCAGGGAAAGACACGCAGAAACCCAGAAGGAAGAAGAAGGAGAAGATGAAGGCCGACAAGGCCGAAAAGAAGTCAACCAAAGGGAAGAAGGAAGTGGCAGGACCGTCTGCAGCAGCAGATAAGAAGAAAGTAAGTGATGGTACCCATCTGCAGCAGCAGATAAGAAGAAAGTAAGTGATGGTACCCATGGCTATGGCAATCGTGCCCTGGCTCTGGCAATCGTGCCCTGGCTCTGGCAATCGTGCCCTGGCTATGGCAGTGGTGCCCTGGTTATGGCAGTGGTGCCCTGGCTCTGGCAATAGTGCCGTGGCTATGGCGGTCGAGGTGCCAACGATCGGCAAAATAGTTTGATGCTGTGCTGTTACCCGCGGCTATGCTGTGCTATGTGTTCTGCTCTTCTGTGCTATGTGTTCTGCTGTTCTGTGCTGTGTGTTGTGCTATTGTTGTGCTATTGTTGTGCTATAGTTGTGCTATGACTGTGCTAAGACTGTCTTTTGGGCGCCGTGTGCTCGCAGGGAGGTGCCATCCCGACGTTCAACCTGCCCACTATAGTAGTAGGAGATGTGATGTGCGATGCTGCGGCTACCATTTCCCTCAAATAGAATGCACGGTCATCATCGCTGTTATCTAGACCGAAACTTGTTGCCCCGAATAATGACAGCGATAATGAAAGGTATAATGACCAGATGCATCCAGGAATAATTACAGGTATAATGACCGTGCGTTCTATTGGGGGGAGCAAGGTAGCGTCTGTGTGTGTGTGGCTTTTGCTTTCGTTCCCCCTCGCTTCTTTTTGTCACCCCGCCCTGTTCGGAATAATAAGGGTATAATAATAACAAGAGGACTTTCCTGGATGCATCTGGTCGCAATCACAGCCCCGTGTGGATGCATTTGAGCGCAATCACGTCCAGAACTCTGTCGGAAAAGTCCTCGTGTGAGTATCCTCTTAAGTGTCGGATTCAAGATTTTGCCTTTGATTTTCGCCGATCTTTTTTCACATGTATTTAGAATGCTTGTCTGTCCACAGCTTCTGATGAAGTGTGAGAAATGGCGCGTGTATCTTTCCAGTTTTAACGGAATGGTACACTGGCCGTTTTGCACATTTCGCGAGTAATAGAGCGAAACCCATTAATTAATTAATTAGCTAATCAATGAATTAATTAGTGACGTACACTCTGCATCCAACAATGCGCGCCAACAAGCTCGCGCTTGTCAACCTCCACGCAAAACTCTCTTGATCCCTCCGATCACTTCTTTGGTCCCCTCTCCCGGCGACCACTTCTCCTCTTTATCCTTCTCCTCCTCCTCCTCCTCCTCCTCCTCCTCCTGCACCTCTTCCGCCTCCTCCTCCTCCTCCTGCACCTCTTCCGCTTCCTCCTCCTCCTGCACCTCTTCCCCCTGCACCTCTTCCCCCTGCACCTCTTCCTCCTTTTCCTCCTCCGTCTCGGGCTTTCCTCTGGTGCTTCGTCACTTACCTTCATGTCGCCGTGTGCGCTGCTTGCAGTCGATGGCAGTCTGGATGTGAATCTGTCGCCTGCGAGCGATTGTGGAATTTACTATATTTATCACGTAATAATTGTTATGAATCCCTTGAAATTCAATGCTGTCGTTGGCTGGCCCTCTCGCCGAGGGCAGACACTTTGGAGTGTGCAATGGAGATGTCACACCGCAGCTGAATTGGGCACACAACCATCGTCTCTGTTCTCCTCCGACGTTGTCACTTCCCTTTCTTCCTTCCCTCCCTCCCTCCCTCCACCTCTGTGTTCCTCCATCGCCGTTTCCTTTCGTTTCTTTTGGGTGAGGCATGCCTATGCGTGTACTGGAAACCGTGAGAGGGGATGGATGGATGGCTGAGCAGCAGCGGGTACAGGGGGCTCGACTTTTGTCGCTAACGTCCTCTCCGCAACACAGCGCACCCTGATCTTGACTGTATTCGTCCCGGAATAGGGCTTGTATGCATACATTCATGAGGATGGGGGGCGTTATGCTCGGGATATCCAGAAACGAAAAGCTTTTCCGAATGGATTGTGGGGTCTCATCGTTGACCGAGGGAGGGAGGGAGGGAGGGAAGGAGGAAAGAGGGACGGGCACATTGAGCAGCTGGCTGGCATGCAGAGTCTATCTTATGGGCGCGTTAGCGAGCGGGGAAAATTCGCGCAGACCTGTGGGGGAGGGGAGGCGGCAGGAAAGCGGAAGCTGAAGCGATGAGCGGGGTTGGAGGTCGCCGCGGGGGGGAAGCGGGGGGGAAGCGGGGGGAAAGAGTAACGGGCAAAGGATGAACCGCGCGTGATCTCGTGCCATGACAATCCATGGCGCGCGCGCGCGCTCTTTTTGAGTGGCGGGAGATGTGAGGGTTGCGTGGTAGGAGCGTGATGGCGCGATAACATTATGTGGTCCTCACATTTTTTGTTGACGCGAGCATGTTTACCAGTACTCAAAAGGCGCGCGCGCTCGCTCACTCAAAATACACACACACACACACACACACAGACACAGAGAGAGAGAGAGAGAGAGAGAGAGAGAGAGAGAGAG